AAATAAATAAATAAATAAATAAATATGCTGATTTTTGTTGTTGATTCTCTGGGCACCCAGAGAGTGCCTGGTCACTATGAGATAGTATAAAAATATCATAAGCAAGCAAGCAAACAAACAAGCTGGAATTATGATTCAGAATAGTACAATGAAAATACAATGCAAGTACAATGAAAGGTTTCTTTGAATAATTAGCTGAATCCTTTGTTAACTTAATCAAGCAGAAGACTGTTCAGGAATATATTTTGTCCTTGTTTTGGGGTACAAACATATTTTGTCCTTGTTTGTACCCCAAAAGTTGTTTCCAAAATCATCTGGGGAAAAAATGTAATGCTGAAGACAGAACTGTCCATGAGAGACTTTGAACCATATGAGTTGTAAAAGCCACGAGTCCTTTGAGAAAGATGAAATTGACAGCATTCATCCAGTCTTTTCCTTATCAGAACTCTCATTTCATCATGATGCTGGGATACAAGCCAAAGATCTGGAAGCTCCAAAACCTGGCTCTAGTGTGGAATGCCAGAACATCGTTTGTAATAAAGTGGATTAGTGTACATGTCTGGAAACGGTCTTCCATGTCGCTAATGAAAATTGGTTTGGAGATTTTTTTTATTTTTTATTTTTAGAATCTATCACTTAAAAAAAAGAGAGAAAGAATTATATACCAATGGAGAGAAGTATCAGGGAAGAGCAATGCAATTTGCCAACCTGTCTTACAGGTGTCTTCTCACTGAATGTTATTCTTTTGCTGAAGGAAAGAAACACAGCCCCAGGTGTATTTATTAATTTAAACATTTGTCGCTGTCATCGTCATTCTCATACTCGTGTGCCATCAAGTCAATTCTGACATATGACAACCCTTTTCAAGATTTTCCAGGCAGAGAATACACAGAAGTAGTTCACCATTGTCTTCTTCGGGGGGGGGGGCGCCCTAAGACTATGCAGCTTGACGATGTCCACACAAGCTGGCTCTAATCACAGGAGGCACAGGGAGGAATTGAACGCCCAACCTCTGGCTCCTTGGCCAGTGCCAACACCAATGAGCTATCCAGTGGCACAGGGAGGAATTGAACGCCCAACCTCAGGCTCCTTGGCCAGTGCCAACACCAACATTTATAGGCCACGGTATATCACAGGACCTCAGGGCAGGGTATGGAGCTATATGAAACAAATAATTTTTTTTAATTAAGCAGTTTAAAATACACAGTTATGTTAAAATATTAAAATTGTTGACTGGATTGCATTTAACAGCATGAGAGATATAACGGCACCTTGTGATGCTCAACAGAAATCTCCCAATGGCATTCTCTGGAATGGAAACATCATAACACAGTGGTTTCTACTCTCATTTCATGAAACCTAAGAGCATACTATGTTCAATGGTATCAAAAGCCACTGAGAGGTCCAGGAAAATCAACAGGCCCCTGTGTCTTTAGGCTGGAACAGTTCACCAGTCAGGGCAACTAAGATCATTTCAATACCAAGCACTGGCCTGAAACCAGACTGAAATGGGCCCTGATTATCTGGTGCAAATTTTCCTCTTTAATCCATATTTTCTCATTACATTGAAACTCTTTCTGAAGATCAAAAATATTCTCATGGGGTTGTGGACTGGGAGTTGGCCATATCAAAAGATACAAAGACTGTTGGCATCTTCCATTTCTCACTGTTCTATTGTTAGTTTATTATTGGAATTGAGCTCTTCTACAGCAACCTCTGTTCACTGCTGGGTCTTCAATGCAACTAAAGCGTTCCTAAATGCAACTTCAGCATTTAGCCTAGTATAGGAGAGCTCATCACTTCTGAAGATTGTCTGGTCTACTGACAAATGCTTTTAACCATGCAGAGGCTTCTTGTAATGTTTAACCAGACTTTGCTTCCTTGCTGTTTCCACAAAAGTAAGTCATGTTGCATTCTGAAACTACAACTGAAAAGAAGAGGACAGTCTCATTCTGAACAGGCACATCACCAACTTTCAGAAGTCCTCATAACAGACGTGTTACTTATACTGAGGAGCAGGTTATGAGGCTAGGACCTTAGGGATCGTGACTGCCCCTTGCTGTCACCCCTCAGATGGTACTTTAGCCTAGGTGGCACTTTTGTTTGGCAGGCTTGCAGTGAAGTCAAATTGATGGAATCTCAAGAGATAAGGCACTTAACCCTTTCTGCTGGAAACCTTGATTGGAAAGCTCCACCACCAGCAAATATGGGGAGCCTGTTTGGGTGGAGTGCATGAATCCTTATCCCATAATCCGCTGTGGTTTGGATGATATAAGGGAGAGGATGTTATAGCTACAGTCCCCTCACATTATGGTTTTTCCAAGTGCTACCTCAACTTTTCCAACCAGTGGTTCGGCCATGGAGCTGGCTTCTCTTCCCAATCACCTTCTGCATGTGGGAAGATATGGAAGAGAAAGAAAACTAGCCACACTGCAGTATTCAAAGCACCAGCTGCAAGTGTTTCACTCCTCCCTCTTCTTTCCTCTTGGAGAAGCAGGCAGTGGAAATCAAAGTTGGCTATCCAGCCATGGCGACCTCCATCTCCTGACTTGTCTCCCTGTTGCCCAATCAACCTTCTGACTGCATGGGGTTTACAGGCAGAGGCCCCAAAGGAACATCCTTGGATTATACCCATGAGCTAAGAATCCGCCTCCCTTCTCTCAGTGGGTGCTGTAGGCATGGCTGCTTCACCGAGCCAATTCAGCAGTCATGGCTATGGTGAGGTCTCCAATTCTCTCTCAGACACACACTCAGGATGCTTTTTTCCGTTAAA